AAAAGAAAAAGCCAACTCTTGACAATATTAACTACGAACAAGGCCACAATGTGCTAACCGTATTCGGAAATTAAAAACATCTCTACAACACACTAAAACATACACATAATTCACACTCTCAATTAAGCTGAAAAATTGAATCATCCTTGATAATGGCTAAAGGTATAGCCAAAAGCTCTCGGAAATATAAAACATTTGGACAGATTTTGCACACTCTTTGTCCAGAAAAGAAAACTCTTCTTGTTCGAACACAAGAAAAATTAAATAAAAAGCTTAACCGTAGTACTTTGTCTGTCGTTTTTAATGAAACATGCATAAACGAAGGATTGCTGCCTAAATATAACAACTATATATATATATATATATATATATATATATATATATATATATATATATATATATATATATATATATATATATTAAAACAATGACAAAAGAACAGTAAGATTTCTAATCCGGTGTTCTTATTAATTATTTTTATTTTTAAGAAAGCAGTGCTCAATATAATTCTGCAGAGCATAAATATTATAAATTTGCTACCCTACCTTAACTGAACCTCATTTGGAAAGTAACTCATATTTTGATCCACAAGTTGTCAGTGAAAATGAATACCCTACCAACCCTTGTCAAAATGATTGAATTTCCCCGTAACCTTAGCTAGTATCAAGAATGCATGTGCTTATAAACTCAGTAAATTTCAAAATAAGTTATTCCAAAAATCCCTTGAAAATGAAACAGTACCAAGGATTTTAATTTAATTCTAAAATTAAATTTAGAGTTTTTAGTTTCTGTTTTTGAAACATAGTAATTCTTGTGTAACGATGGGACCATATTTTTAATTTATTTATTATATTCATCGAATCTAGAAGAATCCTCAACCGAATGCAGAAAGCACTGGACGGCCGTTTCGTCCTATAGCACTGATATGACGCTTGCGTCATATTGTAACGCTCCGGGTTCAATTCTCGGCAGTGGATGCGCACTGCTGATGAGTCCCAAATAGGACGAAACGGCCGTCCAGTGCTTTCTACATTCGGTTCAGTTTTTCCGTTTAATTTTTTGAATAAATAATTTATGCATTTTTCACTTATGGGCGTGTGGAAGTAATTTCGAGACTAGATTTGATTTTATTGATCTACGTAAGAATGAGGTTTAGATGGAGGGAAAGAAAAGATGAATATGAAAAGTGAAGATTCGTTGATGAATCTTTAATTGTTCGGTCCACTCGTCAGGAGATATCAGCAAATGTTTGGCAATTTTCTAGTTTTCGTTATTTTTTATACTAAGTTAAAAAAAATAAATTATGCGCTTTTTTATTGAGGTTAGGCTGATTTTTTCTCTCTATATGCGTGTATTTGTGTATGTATGCTTGTGTGTGTACACCTGTACGTGTGCCTATGTGCACGTGTACAAAATGTCGTGATTATTTCTTCTTTTCAGAATTTTCTTGTCTTTTCCTACTCTCTCATTATTCCTTTTCTTTCTTTTATCTTTCGTCTCCAGTTGTCAAAATATAATGCAACAATATCCAGTATCAGAGACGTCTTATATTTAGGCTAATTTTCCGGAAAATTCTGGGATTTTCTAAAGCTTTTAAAAATATAGGTGTATTAACACTTTTTATTCTTTGTTTAAATAACTCTTTTTTTATTTATTTCATGCTTAAATATTTTTTCTTAAATGGCAAATGTAATATTTGTTTATCTGTCTTCGCTTACTCATTTTTTCGTTTTTCTTAATTTGTATTTGATAGTTTGTTTGTTTTTTTACCTGATTTAAACAACATTGTGGTTGGCAAAATTCAATTTTTACAAAGTATGCAGTGAAAAAAGGGTTCACTGCTATGTACACAGCGCACCCCCACACCCACCCTACGAGAAACAACAGTTTGATTGACTGTGCGTTAACGTTCGATTACGACTATATAATAACGTTTTAAACAATAAAAAATGTCGGATTAAAAAATAAATCCATTAATTCTTTAGTAATTGCTTTGTTTGCGTTTCTTATACGAAACTGAGTAGATATGGTATTTCGAGAAATATAATCTGGATGAGGAAATGTGCTTTCCTTAAAAAGAAAAAATATAACTGTAACGCATTTCGTAGCCGAGCATACTGGATCAATCGATGGTTTCTCCTACAAAGGGGATGCAGGTTCGATCACTGTCGGAGAACTCATTTTCTTTATTAGGACTTCTCGAATGCACAGTCTGTAAAACAGTGTTTAAAACAAAAATAGGGATTCTTTTTCAAATACGAGTATCCACTATAATAAAATTCAAAGTAATAAAAAATGTCGCATTAAAAATAAATCCACTAATTCTTTATAAACTGCTGATTACGTTTCAGATACAAAATTAGGCAGATATGGGCTTTGAGAAAAAATTAATGTAAATGAGGAAATATGCTTTCTTTAAAAAGGAAAACTAGAGCTTTGCTGAACTGTGAAAGCTTTAATAATAAAAAAAGAAAAAGCCAACTCTTAACAATATTAACTACGAACAAGGTCTTCGTAGCTGAGTGATAAAGTACACCGGATCATATAGCGACTCAGATTGAGGTATCGGAGACCGAGTTCGAATTCATTCAAATCCATTACATTCACTTACGTGCTAATACCCTTGGGAAAGGTATGAATCCTCTTCTTCTCCCCCAGCTATGTGTAAATAGCAGGAAAACCGGGTTCTATAGTCTTGAATGGCAACTAGTCTACAGCAGAAAGAAATGGCAACGTACTGCGGGAAAAAACCTGCCTCGTCAGTCATGTATCGCAAGATACATGATCGCCTAAGTGTGTATCACATAATGACACATAACTGATTATATATATATATATATATATATATATATATATATATATATATATATATATATATATATATATATATATATATTCTGAATTATTTCTTGGATATTGACCAACCACTACTAATAGTTTCATACAGTCATGTCAGTCGGAACTATTTTTTTATGAAAAAAAAACAAAAAAACAAAACAAAATCATAAGTGTACCTAAAATGTGCAAGATAAAACAATAGGACGCCTGTATTGAGCGCTTTTTCGCCGGTGTACCATTTCATCAAACTCCTTTAAGAAGGGCTGCTTATTTCTTGCATTTACTAAAAATATATGAGTGCTGAATATTCTCACGCTAAACCATACATCCAAAACAATCTGCGGTGAATCCCTTACTGGCCGAGCTGAGCACTTTTCAGCATCCCTAATGCATGTTATTAGACAGACAGGTCGGTCGATTGATTGATAATTTGGTTGGAGCGAAAAGAGCGTAGAAAATTAGCTGATGGCTAAGGCGATTGGAAAGAGAGAGAGAAAAAAAAAACACAATTTTTGTCTTTTTACTGACATTTTAAAAGCTGGGCCATTTAGATGATTGTATATTATCTCATTTTGTTAATATATTTATTCGCTTCCATAGGTGGGCGAGTCTAGAAAATAATTTACCAAGACATAAATATCATTATGATATTTGTTACTTGTAGTCAGCTTGAATCCTATTCAACACATAACCTGAAAAAGAAAAAGAAAGAAAGCACGCATTTTTTCTTTACACACACACATATATATATATATATATATATATATATATATATATATATAGTTGAATGGCGATAGTGCTTGTCTTAAAATCGACTGTACATGACAAAAATGCATATCTTTTTTCACATAAATGTTTTTATGTAATACTGAAGGCGGAATGTGTTGTTCGATTCAGGTTGCGTAAAAAAAGTATTATTTACAGTGGAAAGACTTTTTTTTTGTCCTTTATTTTTTTTAATTAAATAATTTATGCAGTTTTCATTTATGAGCGTGTGGAAGTAATTTCGAGAATAGATTTGATTTTATTGCTCTACGTAAGAATGAGGTTTAGATGGAAAGAAAGAAAAGATGAATATAAAAAGAGAAAATGAAAAATTAAGTCTGCAAATAAAAGTAGAAGAGAAGGAGACTTTTTCGATATCAATAGGTAATAATCTTTAAAAGTTTAGGAAAACTCTCCGTCCATTCGAATATTCAATTAAATAACAGAATTAGCGTATTTTTCTTCTGTTTAGTTTACTACTTAAGATAGAGAAAAAAAAAACAAATAAAAAGATTGGGCTTTCTTTTTAGTAATTTGGCAAATACAATTCAAACATTCTTTTTTAACTTATTAAACGGGTCTTTTTAAATTCTTTTTTTTTTAGCGTTCTTTAGAGGCTTGTAATTCAGGTCGGTGAAATAACAATTTTTAGAATAACTCTTTTTTTAAAGACCCTCTTCTAAAAATAAGTAAAGTATATACACGTTTTTTTTTTAACAAATACTCTTTGAACTGTTGATTCTATCAAACACAAATCCTTTTCTTCTTTTTACCTTTCCTTTATATTGTATTTACTTTTTACAATCAAATATTTAAATTATTTTTGTAGAAAAAATATATTTTCAAAATACATTGATTAAAAATACATAAGGCATATATTTGCGAAACCAGTTTCAACCGGATTTTATTGGTGCATTCAGCATTATTCATTCATTAACGAATCTTATTTATTGCGAGTCAAAAATATAGAAAAATTTAAAAACTTACAAATCATAGTCGAGGGCTTATATTAAAATAACAGAATGAAAATAAATATCTGCAAATAATGCGGTCTGTTTTATTTGTAATAATAAAGACCGGTTGCTTTAAATTCAATAAATAAGAGCCAGGAGAAAGTGCGCAAAAAATAGTCCCAAATTAGTGTGACTAGTCAGCTTCAAATAATGACCGGAATATTTTACAAAAGAAAAGAAAAAGAAAAACAGAGAAACAAAATACTATTCTTAAATTAATATAAATACTGAAGGATAACTTCTAAGTGTTTTTCTTCCAATTGCAGATAATATTTTCCTACTTGCGAAGAGGCGGAGTGATACATTGTATTACGGCCTCAGTCGATGAGTTTCGTAGTCTGTGCGGTTTTGACGAAGTCTTAGCTTTGCGCTCAGACGGCCAACATGAGTTCTCTCCATCGTCTTACTTTGGTCACTAGCCAGGGCATTGTCAACCATGGTCTTAGCCCGAGTAACCAGCCAACACACCAAAATACTACATCATCATTGTCCACCAACAACAATTCTACCAATTCCTTAGACAAATGTGGCAATTCTCATCATTTCTCCGACAAGCCACCCCAATATGATGAAGTTGTGACAGAGGTAAGTATAAGAAATATTTCTGTAGAACAACATAGGCTGGAATTTTTTCCACTTTTCTACATTTAAAAAAAAAAAAAAAACTTGAAATTGTTTCTCTTTTTTTTTTTTTTTTTTTTCCAATCAAATTTTATTTTACCTTTTCTATTTTTATTACACAGCAAATTTTTTTCTTGTACTAAAAAAAAAAAAAAAAATTTTCACTGATTATGAAATTTACTTCAAAATTTCTCAGAACAATGTCTCCATGTGTTGCAGGAAGCATCCAGTTTTCACGGAACCGTTATATATATATATATATATATATATATATATATATATGTCGGCTTTTATATTGGATGTTTAATACAACACCTTAATTAAAAGTTATTTCTCTCGTATATTTACGTTTATATATTAAAAAATAATTTCTTTTCTTTTTTTGTCTTTGCTTTTTTACCTTTTTCTTTTCTTTATTTTTTTTTTTAAATTGTTCGTCCAGACTGGTGTGTTTTTCTAAACTGTCAATGTGTGTTTATTAAATGCTGATGATGATGATGTCGGCAGTGGTGAGAACATGTTAATCTGTGATCATAAATGATGCAGGTACCGCCGAAAATTGTTCCGTCGATTGGGGTTGAAGGTATGGGAGTTGCCGCCCTAGTGGACGACTGGCCGCCGCAGTACAGTGTCAGCGATCCCCTGAATGTGGAAGATGGCCAGGGCCGAAATGCAGGGCCACAAGAACACCCCTTCCAAGGCGGCAGAGAGCAGGATGAAGATGACAATGATGCCGATCTGTGGGGGAGCACTAGAGACAGCGGACATGAGCAGGGCATAAAATTTAATGGTGGGTAAAATCAGAGAAACCCCCAAATTTGAAAAAAAAAAAATAATTAACCAAATTTGAAAAAAAAAAAAAAAAAAAAAAAGTACACTAACTGCTCTATTCCAGTTGTCTTAAAATTGTTTCATGTCTCTAAAGAAAATTCATTATTTGAACCGCGCCTCCTACTCATTGTAACTCGATTGGTTCTTCGCTCACTATTTGTCTGTTATCTTTTCTTTCAATAGAAAGTTCTGAAAATATATATATATATATATATATATATATATATATATATATATATAATAATAATGTGTGTGTGTGTGTGTGTGTTTAAAATAGGATACAGAAACCCTGACAATTTTTTTAAGAAATTTGACAAATGGAAAACGTTTCATTTTCAAATCTATTTTCAAAGAAACATTTTCCATTTGTCAAATCTCATGTCTTTCATGTGTGTCTTGTATTAGATATATTGTACATACATAGATATGTGTGATTGTATATTCACACATATACATGCATGTGTACATTAATAATTGCGCGCAGATATTTACATGTGTGTGTACTACTCGGGGTTTTATCATCATTCGTTGATAAGTGCCCTTAAAAGTATCATTTTAACATCATTGGTTTCAGCAATTATAGCTTAGTGATTGAATTTCCTCACTTCTCTCTATCTTTTTATAATTTTTTTTTTCTATTCCTAAATCATCTAAATTTATCGCAACACCAATGTTGTCCTGATGGCATCCAAATGAGCAATTAACATGTTTATCTGTCTGTCTACTCATAACGTAGGGAGAAATAGAAAAATGATTCGCCAACAGGTTTCTGTTGTATTTTATTAGCTTTTCTTTGACTATTTATTCTTTGTCAGTTTATCCATTTCACATCAAGAAAACCAAGCTCTTCGATAGAAATCACATCAGTGAGACAATCTCTATGTAGGATATTTGTGGCAGATTTTTCTTCTTTTTATGAATATTAATTGCCAAATGTCAAAAATTCCATGATTCCTTGCTCTGCTTTTTTTTCTTAGTGGTCAGGCTGATTGATTTATTTATTTATTTTACCGTCCTACTATTTAACCCATTACTGGGGGGAGAAGGGAATTCATACCTTTCCCAATGATATTTGTACGAAAGTGAATCTAACGAACTCAACTGGAATTGGAACTCGGCTCTACAATTTCCAGTTTGAAGCTGTTATCTATAGCACTAACCTCACATCCATATTTACTTGGTATTCGCAATCGGTCATTCATCTACGTAGTGATCCAGCTCAACTTTAACTTCGGTGATCATACGAGAACCGATGTTTCAATCTAATACGGCCTTTTAGTTGTCCGACTGTTCCTCTGCATATCTTTTGATACTAATACGTTATTTACATTGACATGAATGTATATGTCAACTTGTATATGACACACCTATCATTATAAAAAAAATTACTTTTTTTCCCCTAATTTTCTCAGCTTTTAACACATACTTACTTACCAATCCTACAGATATGGAAAAGTGACTTTCATTGTGAAAAAAAGCAACATTATGACGAAGAATAAAAAAAAAATTCACCCGCCTTTTTTTCTTCCAGTTCTTGTACAGTGTCTTCAATTAAGCTTAGAACTTCTGTGATTTATACTATCTACTTACTTAACTGGTACACGCAATAACTAAAGATAAATTTCTTGTAAAACCTGACTATGTTGGACGGTTATTTTTTTTTCTTCTTTTTCAACACGTGTGTCACGAAATAAGCCGGTCGGTGTCACACTGACTACTACTATCTCGACAATAAATTTCCTGGTACAAAAAGCCAGTCCCTTCCATTTGCATAACTAACACCTTTTTGCGCATAAAATCCATTATTACTAAATCTGTTAGTACTGATAATTACTTTATTTAAAATTTTTGGTGATTTAATCCATATCAACTACACCGAATTAACTTTTATTTTTTAAATTATTTTTTTGTGCGTGTGTCTGGATCGACGCCCTCACATCCTGCTTCAAGTGTGTACATAATGTGTGTGTATGTGTTAAAAAAAACAGAAAGAACAATCTAGTGTTCATTGATGTGCGAGTGAGAGAGGAGAATCACAGAGATCAATATCACCAACGATGCACAACACACACTACGTATTATCGTTTACACACAAGCCCGCGTGCGCACACACACACACACACACACACAGAGGCTTTACTGAATTTAATTATTATAATCCACTCAAGTCGGGTTTTTACGCAGTTAGATCTTAACTGGAATCTGTTTTTCGTTTCATTTTAAATTAAAATAAAAGTGAATATTGCTTTTATTTATCCAACAACGAAAAGAAAAAATCCCGCCTTACTACCCGTCTCCAAGTAACATTCTCACGTTTTTAGAGTTTATGTTAATAAATTTCTAAAACTGATAGTGTTACCCATCATTTATTGTTTGGCATATAACTGAATTTCATTTATAAATAATTTTTCCTTTGCGCACAGACGCAAGGATAGATGTTCGCTTAATAAATGAACAATTCTTTTATTAATGAATCAACTTAAATGATTTCGCTTATTCAATTTTTTTAATGATCAACAAAAGTTTTTTTTTTTCTAGGTGTTTTATTTTTTATTGGGGATTGTGTATAAATTCTGTTATTATTATATTTTTGGAAACAAAACACTGCTAGAAATGCCGGTGAAGTTCAATGCACCGTCTTCTCGTACCATTGCAGCTGACGAAGGAAGTCGCTTTTCTTTCTAAAAGAAGCGCCATTCTATTAACATTTTTAGTCATATTCCTTACACTTGCCGTCAAATACTATTTTTTTTTTTTCTGTAAACAATTTTTTAGCCGGTCACTGAAAATTTTGGTCTAAGATTTACTTTTTTTTTTTTTTTTTTTTTTTTTTTAATCAAATTCATTTTATTTTTAACATGGGTGGGAACAACTTGTAAATTTACTTATTTTAGAAATTACTAACAAAATTGTTAAAAGTAAATTAATTAAGAAATAAATCCAATTTTAAATCAAAAGAAAAACAAAAAATTAAATTCCTTCTGTTTCATATTTTTTCGTTATTTCTGGTTTCGAGCATCCCATGTGATTCACTCATGATGGATTCACAAATAGTAAAAATACCTAAACGCTTTCGAAAGCAGCTGTCGTTGTAGTAGCAGTAATAATAGCAACTATAGATGCGATTAAATGCCGTATATCGTGGGTATCATAGGTTTTACTAGTATAGGGAGTAAAATGAGCATAAAAATGTTGTCAATTGAGCTTCTCATGCCATTATTCTTTGGTCAACATATTCCAAAAAACCCAACATCTTTGCCTGGTGAGCAAGCGAAATCAGTCGAAACCTTTCTTTACTTTGCATAAGAACCCCAAACACGCTTTCATTTTTGTAAGAAGATAGTCTAATCAACTTCATACTACATAACTATTTGACAATGTTTGTTTTATCATTCTCATATCTCGAACAGTGATAATGGATTTTATTTTATTCATTGGCTAGATTTTAAGCGCCATCAGTTATAAGTTTAAAAAAAAATTAAAGTCGATAAACCCAAATTGAGATTGTATAACCACAACCCGGATATAAAAACCCGGAAGAGGTGACTATTTGCATTTTTAAAAAAAATTTAAAAAGTCTCCTTAATGTAAAAGGATTCATAAAAATGCTGTGGCCACGTAATGCAGGGCAATCAGGAATGTTATTTGAATTTGAAGACTTCTGAATCTGATGGATTACAGATGATAAAATTCTACCAAAAAGTTTCGTACGAATTCATTCAATTTTACGCCAGATGAACTCCGAGCAAAATTAGAGTTGAGATTGTTACATACTTACTGAACTTAATCATTCAGGTGTCCTTCGTCCGTAGTTCAATATATTTCTCTAACTATCCCCACTTGATACAATTATCGAAGTATTTTCTCACTCATTTTTTATTGATGCGTAATAATGTCAATTATATACTTCGACTTTCTCTAGGGAGATAGAAAAGCAAAAAAAAAGAAAAGGAAAAAAGTCAATTCACTACGTAGTTGTTATTGTTCGGTTGCTTGCTTAACAGGCGATTACGCCATGGTGGGACATTCCCATTTAGGTGTGTATGGGGGAAGTCGTGTATTTTTTTTCATTTGGGTATTGAATGAATGAAACCAAGCGCATTATAATTCTTTTTAAGTGCTATGTCCCTTCAGGGTTATCATAGGTCCACCATTGTTCTCTGGAAAATTCCGTTTCGTTATTGCCTGCGAATTGCCGTAACTTCTTGGCAAATATAGTGGAATGATTTCTCGCCATCTCCTCTATGCGCAGTCCCACAAAAGAATAAATAATTTCAGAAATAAAGATTCCGGTTGTACCAATAATACTGCCTTCGGAGGAGGAACAATTTTGCTTCGGTAGAAACAAATAACAGAAAATGTTATATATTCAGTTTGTAAGTAAAGAAAACAAGTCATTGCTAAAATAAGTAATATTTAAATGACTTTTATTTTATTAAGACATATTGAATACATTAAAATACCTATGAGGGATAATAAAAAATTTCTCGGCTCTGCTCACATCGCTAAAAGAGCATTTCACAAACTAATCATCAGAATACTGATTTGGGGAAATGTCTAGAATTTTTGAGTACTACTTTGTATTTCATTAAAATTATTACATATTTTAAATGAAAATATAATTTTCTCTATTACTTTTTCCTACCCAAAAACTGAAATTATTATCCCCCCCCCCTTCAAACAAATGTTTTTTTGTTTTTAATTACTTTTCTTCCGAGAGATTTCTTGTTCTTAAGGTGTTATTTCTGGTCACTGATCTTTAATCTCATTGCTAAGAGAAGACTGCGAAACGTCAAACTTGAGCAAGGAAAATTATTTTATCAAAATGGCTTTTTTTATGTCCGTAGCAATTGGTATAAGTCCTCTAAATTTGAGGGTATCGGTACCTTTGGACAGTTCAATCTTATGGGAGACTAAATTTTGGGAAACCTTCTAACGCAGTATGGAAAGCTTTTGTTT